TCCGCGTACAAGGCGGTGATGTCCAACGGGCTGTCGGTGGTGGTCAAGAGAATGAGGGAAATGAACAAGCTGGGGAAGGATGGGTTCGATGCGGAGATGAGGCGCATGGGGAGGCTGCGCCATCAGAATATATTGACGCCTTTGGCCTACCATTACAGGAGAGAGGAGAAGCTGATGGTGTCGGAGTACATTCCAAAAGGCAGTCTCTTGTATGTGCTGCATGGTGAGACAATACCAAAATATTCCTAGGCTAGGCTCCTTAATTAATTAATTAATTAGATATTAAATAGTTTTCTGAATTTGATATCCACCAGGGGACCGCGGAGCCTGCCATGCTGAGCTGAACTGGGCGACCCGGTTGAGGATTGTGCAGGGGATCGCGAGGGGAATGGGGTTCCTCCACTCGGAATTCGCCACGTACGATCTGCCGCACGGGAATCTCAAGTCCAGCAACGTTCTTCTAAGCGACAACTACGAGCCCCTTCTGAGCGACTACGCGTTTCATCCCCTGATCAACCCCAACAATGCCACCACCGCAATGTTTGCGTACAGATCCCCGGAGTACACGCAATACCAGGAAGTTTCTCCAAAGTCTGATGTTTATTGCCTTGGCATTATCATTCTCGAAATTCTGACCAGCAAATTTCCTTCTCAATATCTTAGCAATGGCAAGGGTGGCACGGATGTGGTGCAGTGGGTCTCCTCCGCAGTTTCCGAGAAGAGGGAGGCCGAACTCATCGACCCAGAGATCGCAAACGACACCGCTGCACTCGATCGGATGGTGGAGCTCCTCAGAATCGGCGCAGATTGCACCAACAGCAATCCTAAGCAACGGCCAGAAATGAAGGAAGCCATTAGGAGAATAGGAGAAATATAAATATAATTAAGGAGGAGAGAGAGAGAGAGAGAGGACAAAGCAATGTTAATTAAGCTGCAAATACTTTTTTTTTTTAACAAAAAGAAAATTTTAAAAACAGAAAAAACAAACAAAAAAAAAGAACTAATGTTGTTGTAGAGGGATAGTTTTGATTGGAATCTGTGAGTAAGTAGGGAAGCGATGGAGCAGGAGGGTAGGAGGAGAGGTTTGTGAGCGCGTCTCAATCCCCTGCCGGCCGCCGCCACATCACTATCACATATCTTCGGCTCCGCCTGTTACCTGTAACATTATTTATGTATATCACATCATCAGTTCACTACCTCTGTATTTTTTACATGTAAATGAACCTCTGGGGGGTTGGGATTTGTTAATTAGTTCCTTTTTTTTTTCTCTTTATTCGTTTCTTCAACCTAATAGAAAACAATCACTTTTGATTTCGCAGTTTGGTAGTATATTCTTCCCACTTTAACTCCATAAAAGAAAAGAAAAAAACAAAACCAAACCCTTCATCTTCGTTATCTCACTAAAACCCACTTTTTAATTCGCAAGCTGCCAAGAAATTACTTGGTTTGTTTAGTAGGTTGAGTTAAACTCATGATCTTTTAGTCTCATACAAGTGTCTTAATAAATTCAAATTGGCACTAAAATATTAGTTAATAATTATCTCATCACTAACAATATTTTGGATTTTAGTAACATTTAGAGACGCCACGAAAGGATTTCCTGAACATCTACAAAAGGGTATTCGTGACGGAGATTACAAAAATATATTTAATGACATTTAGAAAAAAGTTCACAAAAAATGGATATCATGGTTTGATAGTATATTCTCTCCCCCGTTAATTACTATCATGTGTGTTTATTTATTTTCCTATTTATTATTATTTACATCTTTACTTGCTTCTTTCCTTCTCATTTTTTTACTGAATTTTTCTCCCTTCGCATAGAATTTTTTCATTCTTTTTTTTATAGAATGTTTGAACTTTAAAGATTTGTACTTCACCGGCCGACTTTCCTATCTATTTTTTATTTTTCTTATTTTTTATTACTTTTTTTTATCTATTACATTCTAATTATTTTATATATTTTTCATTTTTTTTGGTGTATTCATTCCCATGCGAAAGACTAAATCTGTTTATTTCTTTATAATTTTTTTAATTCATCATTTTTATGAATTTTGATTAAATAATTATAAATACACTTTTATTTTTGTCATTTTGAGTTAAAGTATTGTTAAACTTAACTTTAAAATTTTGTTTCAAATCAATGGCTAGCCCAAAATATATAATTCAATAAAATGTAGCTTTCAAATAAATTCATGACATATTTTTTAATATATGTAAATTAATTATTCATGTTTTTGTGACGCCCGAGTAGAGAGGAGGGGAATCGATACCACATTCTAATAGGAGGGATTCTGAGATCATGGGAGAAGAATGATCAAGAAATGCTTAAAAAAATTGATAGTGAGTTGGATGACCTCCCAGTTGCTTTGCTAGGAAGCATGTGAGTGAGGATTTATTTTAGAAATCTACCATTTAAAATAGAGAAGAATATATAAAATTATTCAAATACAGATTTTATTGATTTGGAGGAAAAGAAAAAGTGAAATAATAGTAGCCTTAAGAAAAGAAAGTGAAAATACTAAAAAAAGAAAAAAAAAAGTGAGACGATATCGCCTAAGGTATAGGTCGTTCAACGTGATTCTGAATTGTTAAAATTGTTATGGTTGTAGCATATTTTCTTGGGGCTGAATAAATTTTTACATGCAGAAGTAGTTTTATACTTCGGATTACCATTATGTTGCAACTCGAGTTACAGTCAACCATAACTATTAGCGTTCATCATCATCATCAGAATGTTTAAATATATTTATGCGTAACCATAGGAATTCATATGGTCTGTACAATATTGAAAAAAAAAGATGAACTTTCCACCGTACTAATTAGACTAGATGAAAATCAGACACTCGAACTCTTTGGAGCCACTTCTTCAAACCCCTACTGCTCAACGGCGGACGAACAGCCTCCTGAGGCCATGGGTGGTTTACCAGACACAGCGATTTATTATGGGATGGGACTAAATTTGTGCAAACAAAATTTCGTTCCATGTATCGGGAACGCCTGGTAGGCACCAGTGGAGGCAATCTTGAACACCAGCTTTGGCTGTTATGCTGTATTTAGATATATGAGCCTCATCCCTAAGCTGCGAAAGGGCTGTTATGTCCAAAAGCTTAACCCCCGTCCCCTTCACTGCACCTGCAGCACTTTCATCACTAGATTCATCTTGTAATACTTCCTTCCCTACAGACATGGGTCTCGTGTTGTCACAACTTCCTCCTGTATTCCAATCTCCACCCACAAAGTGCCTCGGTGAAATTGTTCGATAAAAAACTTTCAAACCTGGGTACTTTGGCAGCTGAGAGTTCACCCAGTTGACGATACTATAGATGGTTAAATTCTTGGCACTCCAAATCATTGCAAGTTTCCTGTCAATGTTTGGTTTACCACCCACGTGCATCACCCAGCGGTTGGCCTTGAGCTTTCCCCGATTCCAATGGTGCCCTGTGTTTAGAACCAACACGTCAATTTTGTTAATATATTGCTGTAAGAATGCAGGTGGCCGATCAAGATGCATGGCATAATCAGTGTTTTGATCTCTTATATCCAAGGGCTCCACATCGCAGAGGCTAGCTGACCAGTAGTAGAGTATTGTAGTATTGGTGCTTGGGAATCGATATGCCCACCCATTAGGGCGTGTATTACCAGGAGCCAAGACCAGGCCAAATTCCTTCCCCACATCTACGAAAAGCTGCTCTTCACCACCTGTGACCATGCACATTAGGGACTGGAATTGCTGGCGGCCCAAAGAGTCTCCAACAAAAGCTAGAGTTTTGTCTTGCATCCTGGGTGCATAGAATAATATTATATAATATGGTCACAACTATCTATTACTAACATGATAGGAGAAGAAATAAAAAGTGATAAAGAAAAAAAATGGAACAAAATATTATCAACAATATCTTAACCTTTGCGATAACCCTTTTTTTTCCTGTGTAACTTATTATATGTCAAGGCTTGAAAATTCAAGTGTATAATGCAAATAACTACTAGGTTCTACCCTTGATGTGGAACAGAGATAACCATCGCTCGTTAGCAAGCCAGCTTTAGAGTTCACATAGGTTGATTTACAAAGTAACATTTTATGTGGAGAACTATCACCCCTTTTTTTTGCACGAGTACTCGAGCAAATAACCTCCAAAGAGATTTATAGCCAGCAGAAATATGTAGTCAGGGGAAGGTGCACCGTGGATTGGTTGAATTGGAAAATAGTTAACTAACCTCAACCTAAGTGGTGTAAGAAATAGTGCAAAGTTTCTCGAAAGGAGAATACCTTTTCAGGAACTCGGAACCTTTGAATCTTTCCATTTCACAGCCTTTTGGCTGCCATCTAAGTTTTTCATAGGCAAAATCTGTACGTTGGGTCAAACGGCAAGCCCACATTCCAGAGAGCCATTGCTTGCAGCCAAATCCAGAATACAGAGGCTGCTTCTCATCTACAACCCATTTTCCTTTTGCATAATTGCAGGCTGAATTCATTAGATAAATTATGAAAACCATAAGTACATAAAACCTATTGAACCCAAGGTATGGATGAAGTAAATCTTAGACAATAGCAAGTAAAACGTAAAATTTATACTCTTATCACTAATTTAATCAAAGGCTTTAAAACTAGGGTAAGACCATACCATTGTTTATAAATTATAAGAATGGAACAGCGGTGGAAAAAACTGACACAACAGAAGCCTGTGATAGTGATCATGTAGCTTACGAGTATATTAATTAAACAACAGCAAAGGAAACTCTCCTAGGTGCATTCTCTATTTCCCTCAACTTTTTGTTAGCTGATTAGTCTCATTACTGGATTGCATGTGCCAGGTGGTCTATAACCTCCCATCGTATCATGCTAGAAGTCTCTTTTGGAGGGCATTGGAGACTCTGGTTTATGTCAAGGCCGATGGTGTATAGGAGGAGATTTTAATGTAACCAGATGGACCTTTGTAAAGTCGTTGGGAGGAAAAATTACGAGGCACTTCAACAAACTTTGTTGAAGCTTTTACTTGATCAAAGCTTTAGAGAAAATCCTATCATGTGCCTGCTGGACAGATATTTGGTTTCAAAGGATTAGATGGCTTCTTCCATAAATCCGAGGATAATGAGGAAACCAAGGGACACATCAGAGTACTTTCCTTTATTGTTGGAGACGGGGTCTTTCATGTGGGGATCCACTCCTTTCAGATTCAAGAATGGTTGGTTGGAATGTCCTACTTTTCTAAGGACCTCAAATTTTGGCAGCAGGAGATCAGCTTAGTAGGTACGAGGGTTTTTCTGTTTGTACACAAGCTGAAGGAGTAATCGCAGAACCTGAAATGAAAAACGTGGAATAAGGAGACTTTTGGCAACTTGGAAACAAACTAGAAGAGAAGGTATTGAGTAGGCTTTTATTTAATTGATTACAAAGAAGAAAACTCAACTATAACGCAGGAAGATTATGAGCAGAGAAGATTTTTGAGGATACAACTGGATATCTGTTACAAAGATGATCAACTTGGCAGACGCAAGATGAGGTGGCTCCAGCAGGGAGATGAGAATTTCTCCTTTTTTACCCAATTGGGTACAGCTAGGAGGAAAAAAAATCTGGTTGCTGAACTGGTTAATTATCAAGGAAATTTTATTCTTGGAATGGAGGCTGAAAATACATCATTTCTCCAGCAACTTTACTCCAGAAAATAAAAATAAATAAATAAACAAATAAAAAGGTAGAAGAATGACAATTGAAGGCTTGAACTGGGCTCCTATTAACTTAGCAACGGGGAATTCCTATCTATTTGACATGGAAGTTGGCAACACTTCAACACTTCAACATGGTGTACCCTTTTCACTCTCTCTTGTAATTATAACTATTAATACCAATTGGGGAGCCGTATTCTCCTTTGGTTTCCTTTTGTATTTTTTATATCCTCAGTGAAAAGCTTATTTCTAATTTTTTTTTAACAAGATATAAATTTCTCATTAATTAATGAAAAGGAACAAAAATAGTTCAACGGATACGATCTCCCAATAAGAGGGAGGGAGAGAAAAACTAAAGAGAAGAAAAAAGAAAGCAAGAACCCGAAGAGGGAAATACAACCCCAAATAAGAAGAAAGATAAAAACAAACAAGAACATGGAATGAAAGCTTTAGAAAAATCCAGATCTTCAAGCAGAATAAAGCTCCCACTTGCATGGAACCAGTCATTGAAAGACTTTAATGAACTTTAACCTCAGGACCCACTTCTAAATCAACTTCATGTTACAAGGTCATGTAATACTGAAACTTCTAACTCGTTCAGCTTCAAACTCCAAACTTTCTTCTAAAAAAACTTATAAGCAAAAGGTCCTTACTTTGTCAAAACCATTCTAACTTCGAGATAAGAAAAGCTGACCAAGCAATAAGATGAATGGAGCATCCTATTCTAAAAACAGCTCTTCATGATGCAAAAATCAATATACCATAACCCATTTTATGTCAGTTCACTCAAAAGTCTGATTTATTTGTACTACAAAAATATACATAAAACACCAGATTATGCAAGGGATATTTGCTGCCAGCAGTCTGCCACATCATCAAAAAAACATTTACAATAATATGGATCTTTGAAGCACCCAAGGGACAACCCAGTTGGCAAAGGCTTGGGGTCTTTTGGCTTAGAGGTCTCAAATTTGAGCCTTCTGGTGAGCTTAATACCAAAAACTCTTGATGTTTCCCAGGTCCAGGCCTTGGGATGAGCATGGGTGCCCCTCAGCATAGAGGTGCAAAGCTCCGACTCCCAGTTATCAAGAAAAAAAATATAATATGGATCTTTGAATTAATAATTCTTATATTGCATGAACTGCATGAAATTCAACAAAGTTTTTCTTTGACATCCATGGTATCCAAGCCCACCCAACAATATTCACACTCTCTAACTCCAACTCCATGAGATAATAGAGATGTTGAGGTCTGAACTTAGGATTTTGAGCACAACTCTCACCTAAAACCTTTCTTTTTGAAGGTACCGAGCTTCCATTGAGAAAAAATGAAAGAATAAAAAGTGACATACAAAAAGCCGGAGGAGTCCACTAAACCCAAAAGGGCTACAATCCAACAAAATAAGATCTAATGGATAATTATAAAAGTCCAAAACCACCTAAGCCGTTGGTGGACCAAGGGTGCTGCTTGGGGGCTAGGTTTAATGCATTTTTTGCAGAAAGGATCTTATGATCTGACACCACTCTTTTTCCTGGTTTATATATGACACCACAACGTGATCTGTCTAGATTCTATTGATCAAAATGTCTATATAACATAAGGGATACAGAGTGGCAAATAGTAAAGAGGAAATACATTGCGCACCTTGATCCCTTTCCAATTTTTCATCTACTTTGCTGACGTTGTAGGCAATTGGCAAAACTGAATCAACACTTTGTTTTCCTTGTCTTGAATAATTTTCTTCAACTACCTGTTTTATTTTTTCATCAACTTCTAATAGTTTTGGTTTCGAAACCTCTTTCTTTCTCAGAGCCTCTACACCTTCTTCTACCACGATTTGGTTGCGTATTGTTTCATCTTCTATCATTTCTTTTGGACTTCCTGAACTTCCATCAGTTCTTAGTTCCACTATTTGTTTGTGTGTAGCTCCTCTGGAACCCACAGCAATTCCTGCACGGAAAATTAACACTCAGAAACTTTAATTGAAGTAGTAAAAAATTTACAACATTCAGATGAAACAAATACGTATAAAATGCTATTAATAACAAGAGCTTAAATATATCTACAGAAAAGAAGGCTTCAAGACCAAAGAACAAACATTTAAGAACTTAAGGCCATGCACCACCACCGAATGACGAAGAAATGTCTGGTTGATATGCCCAGCCAAAAGTATGGAGATTGGTTGTTACCATTCAAACATAATATTACCACAAATAAAAAGAAAGAAGAATTGATACTATCAAATTAGCTAAAAGGAAAATCGAAACAAATCTAAAAAGCCATCTCGTTGGTACAGATAAAAATAAATTGGAATATGTTGGAAACAAAAATGTTAATCAACATTGAGGTAAAAACCAATACTTTTATTCTGGAAAGATGTTGTGTCCTCATCATTTGAATAACTGTGAGAAAAAGCCCTACCAACTTCTTGGTTATTTACAGTGTTTTTATCTTCAAATGAGGGAATGTATTCATCAGCATGTCCTTGTTGCTCCAAATGAGATGCACTAACTAATGTACCTGCCAGACTATCTGCAATACAAAAGAAAATCAAGAAGCACGAATATGTACCTAAAGTACAAAGGTGCAAATTGTACTAAGATTCCTTTTCAGGTCGTGGTTCAAACCATGATTGCAATATATTTAAGACATAAACATCCCACAAATTTTCCATGTTTGGATCATGTTGTCCTACAGAGGTGTGCATAAATCAGCCTAACACTCATGCTAATCAAACATATACATATGCTGAAAACATGGCTGGTTTTCTAAAAAATTCCAGGTAACAGAGAAATAGCTAATAAGTCTCAAAAGGATAAACATGCTGAATTCCTCATCCACTTGGATGAACAGCCATTCTTGGGAGTTCCATAAAAATCATGCAAGACTTGCTTGGGAGAGAGAATATTGTGCAATGGCTTGGATTGCTGCGTTATAATTATCTGAAACTTCAACTCCATATATGACTTTTTTTTCATTTTTTGGCCCCATGAATTAGCTTAATGGGAAGGAAAATTTAGACGCCATTACCTGAAGAAAATTGCAGCCGAGTTTGAGGTGGAGGAAAGGTACTGAGAAGTGGAGTTTTCTCCCATGTCAACATAATAATAACCATGCACATCAAGGCAATGGTTACCAGAGATAACTCCTTACCCCTCAATCCATAAAAACTCTTTTTCATCCTATATCCGAGTAGCATGCGTGTTAATAGTTTATCAAAATGTTGAGAGAAGAATGAGTCACTAGAAAAAGGAGGGAAAAAAAAGAGCACATAGACAACAGAATAATAATAGTTGTTCAAGTAGCAACAACACGCAGACCGCTAGCTACTGTACATCAAGAATACATGAAACTTGTACGTTTGAAACACTCGCTGAGCGCATAACATTTTCTGTTTCTGACAAAAGGGCCGACGAATAGCAGTGGGATGGCCAATAATTGCATTGTAAAGGATTTTGGCTGTGTAGATAACTACATATCAGTGCTCATTCCCATAGATAACGATGATTAAAGGTTTAAATAAAAATTGAAGTTGCTTCACTCGAATTTTAATGGAGAAAATTTACAGCATGATTTAAGTAATCAATCCTATAAAAAATGATTTTAGTAAAAAACAGTAAAGCGGTTGAGCCGGAAACGAAACTAATATCCTCGCTAAAAGCAGAAAAAATTGGAACAGAACAGGAAAAATGTTAGAAGAATGTAGGAATTTCAGGCTCGGACAGGAAGATCCTCGATATAACAGAGAGAAAGGATGGAACTTTGTGCGAGTGGCCAACCGACAAGTGTAGTGCGAAAAACATGGAAACAATGGGAAAATCATCTTCCAAGATACACAAGGTGAGAAGATTAATACCTTACAGGTAAGATATCAAGGCTGCAGTAGAGACGATCTGCAGAAAACAAAGGTAGTTAAGAAGAAGAACCTCTAATAGGTGGTTGCGGCTGCGAAGGACGGATCAGGAAGCGAGAATAGCAAGCGTCGAATTACAATAAATGGGTAGAACTGGACGATATGAAGAAAAATAAGCAGAAAAACGATGAACTGAGAGAACAGGAGGGAGGAGCAGAGAGCCAAAAATAGAAATGTGAAGGAAAAAAATAAAGCTATTGAGAGGGCGGGCGTGGGAGTTCCGTCGCTGAACGGAGAATGCAATGTCAGTTCTTTTTCCCCCTTTCTTAACTTTCGGGTTCTTAACTTTCGGGAACAGAATGCAATGTTTATTTTTCTTTTCATACTATAGTGGTATTTTTTCTATGTGGTCTCCATCATTTTAAAAAAGGATTATTTTAGCGTATATTTACAAAATTTAAAACAAATTCTATACTGAAAATTCTTTAATATAAAATCATTGTTACATTCTAATCAAAATATATTGAATATAGGGTCTTATTGAAACTGTGTATAAAAAATATAATTAAAGAACCTAAATATAATTTTTAAAGACTACAAATATCAAAATGAGACAAATACTAAAATGAACCAAATTTAAAGTATAGATAACAAAATAAGTCTTTTGAAAATACAATAATCAAAACGAACCAAAACTTAAAATAAAATAACTAGAATGAAGGTTTGTGGACTAAAATGAACTAAAATAGATCAAAATGAATGAACATTTTTAAATGACACTTAATCAATACCTCAAAAATTTGTTAAGTTGTTTAACGACCAAAATAAACTATTATTTAAAGTGCAATAACCAAAATAAATGAAGATATTAAAATTACATGAGCAATTCAACGATATTGGAACCGAGAGAGCATTTTAACCCCCCAAAATCTAGAGAACGGAGATTTTTAAAATGAACCATTTTGGGGTCTAAAAGTGAAAATTTTCCACGTTGAAGCTAAAACTTAAATGTTTTCCTAAATAAAGAAACCTCGGAATCGATACCCCTCCGCTGGCCTCAACTTGCCCGACCTTTCTGAACCGACGGCGCGAAAAGAGAGAAAAAATCGAACAAGGTGAACATAGTTCGTGAATATTCAGTATTCAGGCAGGTAGAAATGAAGAAGTCATCACTGCCATTGCAGAGCAATATCGGGCCGGAAAAGCATAAATATAGCAAGGATTCTTTGGTGAAGCTCTTAAGGTGGCATTTTGGACATTCTGAGTTCAGGGGAAAGCAATTGGAAACAATTGAAGCTGTTTTATCAGGTGGATACTTCCATAGAATCTGAAAAAAAAAAGAAGTAAAAACAGTTGTTGATTTGATTTTCATTTACCAAGCAAATCTACTTTACAGCTAAGAGAACGAAGTGAGATATTTTTGTATTATATATATTTTCGGTTCACGTCGTTTCTAATTTTTTTTATAGCCCACAGATGTAATATGTTGCACGCACGTTCGCAGTTAGTGAGTTTTCAAAACACTATCTGGGTTCTGTTAGCTGACTTCGTTTATCGTCTTCTTTGACTTAGGAAAAGATTGTTTCTGTCTCATGCCCACTGGGGGAGGAAAGTCGGCGTGTTACCAGATCCCTGCTCTAGCGACAACTGGAATTGTGCTTGTTGTTTGTCCCTTAATAGGTGAATGTTATTCAGTTTCCTTCTTCACACTTCAAACTCATGGCAGGATTTAAACTACCAAAGGTTTTTTTTTCTTCTGTTGGATAAGATAATTGCATCCTGCTCTTGCCTAAATCATCAAGTATTCGCTTGCAGCATTGATGGTGAGCATCATAGGGTTTGTTTCCTCCTTGTATTCCTGATAACTTTATTTCTTGATAAATAATTTTTGGCCATTTCCCCACCCCACCATATCAGGAAAACCAAGTGATGGCATTGAAGGAGAAAGGAATTTCTGCTGAATATCTATCCTCAACTCAGTCAACACAAGCCAAAAATAAAGTGAATTTTCCTGATCAATCATCTTTTACTCCTACTTATAATTCCTGCTTTAATGGCAGTCCTCATTATTCATTAAAAAATGGGTACTTTTTTTTCTAATATATACATACATATATACATACATATATATATACATATATACATACATATATATATATATATATATATATATATATAATGCATCGCATGTGTTGTTGATATCTTCACTCTTTCTAAAGAAACTGAAAAACTAGTTGAAGTTATTTTTAGACGACAGGACAAACTTCTGTATATTACACCAGCTTGCTGTTTTTCCACTTTGTGAGGCGAGGAGGAGAGAAAGCAAGGCAGCATCATGCTTTTCCAAACATTCATTGATATGATATCCAGGATATTGTTAATTAAAAAAATCCTTCAACTATAATGAATCTCTTAATTTTGAAAGAATGGAAGAATTATTGTGGATTGGAGGAGCGGCGGGAGTGACTTTGGGAATCATATTCATTTATTATTATTATTTTTTTCATCTAATAGAAAAAATATAAGATGTCCTGGTTTCCTTTTTTCTCTTTGTGGGGATCTTCTGTACTTGTTTATTACCTCGTCCTCTCATCTTTCATAGTCTCTGTTTATGGTACAAACTTTACTTACCTAGAAATAATGAGTGTAACAATCTTTTTCATTTAGATTCACGAAGATCTTGATTCTGGTAAACCTACCATAAGGCTTCTATATGTCACACCCGAACTAATTGCAACATCAGGGTTTATGGCAAAACTGACAAAGATTTATTCCCGAGGATTACTAAATCTGATTGCTATAGATGAGGTGAACTTATATTCTTGTATCATGTGAGCATGGTAGAATGCCGTAGTTTATCTTCTTCAATCATACCTTCACTTCATCTTTCTTTTTAATGCAATTTTCAGGCACATTGTATTTCAACATGGGGCCATGACTTCAGGTTTGTGATATAGGTGATTATCAGTGTTGATTTAAATCTCTTAAGACTAGACTTTAATTATTATTATATTCGGAATCACATTTCTACGTGTCTTCATTTCTCTGCACATCATACGGGAGCTACATAAGAGTTTTCTTGTACTGTAGTGTTCTTCCCACCTTGCCCCTCTTTGTTTTACTCCTCTTTCCTCTCTACTTCTGTGATATACCTTTATTTATCAAGTTAACCACATCTATTGATATCTCTTTACTTGTACTTGTACCCTATATGTAAATTCAATGCTTGTCTTAGTTGTAACATACCTCATTCTTGGTGCTTATGAAGGACCTTTGTTTTTTGTTTTTTGGTTTTTCCCTTTCTCTCTTGGCCATTTGCTGATTGTAATTATCGAGCCATGTCTCCTCACTTGTATTGTCCTTTTATGTTTTGAAACAGGCCTAGCTACCGCAAGCTTTCATCTTTGAGGAGTCGTCTTCCTCATGTTCCCATACTGGCATTGACAGCTACTGCTGTTCCTAAGTGAGTTATTCTCATCACCCCTTCAGTTTTGAAATTCTTTGTTTCAATTTTAGTTTTATTTATCTAGGTGAAAAAACTGATCATTTTGTCAACTAATTGTAGTTGTTAACTTAATATTAAATTAATAACCTTATCTTTTGCCTCTTGGACCAATTCTACTGGCTTTTACGTGTTCATAAGATGGAATCCAGGTCTCTTTTCCTCTCACTAGCAAAATTTGAAGTACGTTTCTACATTGTTAGTGTATGATTCAGCTGGATATGGGCCAAAGAAAATTATCATGTT